CAAAGGTCACTCTAGCATCGACCAGATTATGACGGCAGGGGATGCCAAGCTCAGAGGTCACGTGGGCATCGGCGAATGAGGACACAGGACAACGGAGCAGCCAATGGAATCGCCTGACTGAACAACTAATCGCGATCAAAGGTCATCCTCTGCTAGTAGCACGTATATTAGCACACGCACAACACTATCCAACGCACAACCACCAACTTACCGCTAATGCACCACTACGCTCCCTAATAACGCATTGATGATGTCACCTTGATTGGTGATGAAACGTTTGCAATCAAATTGCCCAGCTCAGCGAACAAGCCAACGAACACCAGCGTGTTCACTAATACGCATGCACGCACGGGCACACACACAACGCACACGAATAATCAGCGTGTAACAAGTGATGCATCGCTGCACTCGTCACTACACGCGAACTACGTACGGATGATGCCACCTCGAACGGCGATAAGTCGATGGCAGTCAAATTGCACTCAGCTCAGCGAACAAACCAACGACCGTTGGGATGTCATCCGTACTAATAATTTTCCGCTTATGGCTATGGACAGATGCAAAGGGCCTCATTCTGTTCAAGCGCATTTACTTCTTTGCTGTTCGAACGAGCAAATCAAAGCCATTTACACTTTTGGTGTTGTAATCGGTCCAAAGGCATTGTTTCAGCGCATACTGGGGTGACGCTAAGGTAGCAGTCCGATGCAAATGAGATATCAAATGGGGACAACATGTAGCTTTGAGACCTGAGTAAACTTATCTGATGTCCCAGGACAGTTGTGTTTAAAGTGGTCAGCAGCACTCTCACGAATAAGGTCATTCATTCTGGAGGACCATGGAAGTACGTTACAACGCAATCTTACACAGCCAGACGCAAACGAGTTCCTTTTGAGTGATCAGGAAAGATAGACCCGCATTACAGTCAAGCTGTCGGCAAGAGTGGATTTTTTCGTTGTGGCTAAATCCACAGATAGTCGGTGACTTGAGTCAATAAGCTTTTTTTCAATTCTGGATTTAAAACGCAATCCAAGTGAACCTCGAAATGGTGAGAACCACCATTAGGTTGTTTCATCTTGTTCAGTGTGCCTTGCACACATCTCACAAGAGATTCGAACGCACTGTGATTTACCTACAGCTATCAACGCGGTCAAAACACAGCTTCACCCGTTCTTAAACCAGGTGGATGCAAATCACATGGTAATGATACTGTCTGACTCCTTCAGTTGCAACTTCTTTGGTGAAGGCCCACGTGTTCTGGTGTGATGTTGGAATGCTGACAAAGTTGGTGTATACTTGCGGGCTAGTCTGGTGTAGTGTTGTATACTACTGATAAAGCGTGAGAGTTGTCTATGGTCTGGTGTCCAAGCGCCGCCGCTGCATCTGATGGAAGGTGAATTTTATTACGGAAATTATGGAACTGCTTTGGAGTGTTCGTTTACTATTGTTTAACGGTCAATGAATGCACAAGGTGTAAAAATGTTGAATTTTTAAGAAATTTGTGCATATATCATGTCTGATGGCTTGTAACTACCTAGGGCTAATAAGTGACTAATAAGTGCTAATAATTGACTTTGCAGCGAAGGGCTTTCCCCTCTTCAATAGTAGGAGCGTCAGATTCGCTATTTATCATCAATAGCATGTTTGTCCATGCACAGCAGTAAACAGGACGTGCGAGATTGAGAAAATACAGGGTTAAGAGAACTGCTGATCAGAAATGCCAGTTCGCTGGCTCTTGAGGAATGTAACGGAGAGCCAACGTAGCCGTCTACTTTGATAGAGTTTCAGATTAAAATCAAGGACGATATGATTAGTCACCATAACACTTGAGACCTTTTGGGTTAAACAAGTAAGTTCGTGAGGATACTTGGTAATCTTTAATTGAGATTTTGTCCTTCCAGTTGGACCAATCTATGTTAGAAAGCTGGGACAACCGTTTCATCCTCGTTGGAAATCATCCATAGTGTGCGTCTTACGAAACTCCAGAGTTCCGACCGCGTGGCCAGTGGTTGTACGTGACCACTCGGGTACGAGCAGCGGAGCAGCAGTGTGATTAGCTCTCATTCAGAGAGTTCAGCCATGATGAAAATACACCACAGCATCACAGTCTTTTCAAATGTGCAACACTCCCGCAGTGAAGCATTAAGAAGCAGCTTCCAATGTTGTTCAAGGGGCGAGGTGGCCCAAGTGGTAAGAGCGCCACAGCATCACTTTTCAAATGTGCAACACTCCCGCAGTGAAGCATTAAGAAGCAGCTTCCAATGTTGTTCAAGGGGCGAGGTGGCCCAAGCAAGTGGAGCGCGAATTTGCTGACCGGAAGATCAGTGGTTCGAATCCGACCTCCCCTGTCTAGGCTTGGGCAACCTGGCATTATCCCAGCCCTCGTGCTTCCTTCGGGTAGCATGGCAGCTAGGCACTGGAAGGGTGCTACAGCTGAACGCGTATATATATATATATATAATCACCATAGAGAAACGTTTACCGCACACTGTAGACGATTCCTAGCTTCCCGGCTCCTCAGCAAAGGTCGTCTTCGGGACGAAAGTATACATTGAAGCTCCAAAATTTCCCGACTATCTGAGAGAGGGTTAACCATCATGAGGCTTTTTCGAACAGTCAGTGATCAAGTGACATGAAAGAGTGGCGCCGTGTCCTGGCTGAATGAAA